GAGCAGAGGTACAGAGAGGGGGAGTGTGTAAAGGCCCTGATACAGTTACCTGAGGCCATAGCTGCCCTGTTCACTTCTAACGGCCCTGTTTTGAGGTTGTTTGTTCTAATTTATTTTACTCTAGGTAAGGCTGGGGGGAGAGTGGGGCCAAGGTCCCCTCAGCCTCCATGGGGAGGGAAGAAAGGGGGAGCTCTTTTTTTACGTTGACTTTTTTTTTCTACTCTTGTTTTCCCTTTTCCTTTCACTCCATTTGGGGCCCTGGGGGTTTCAGTCATCTCCCCGTTTGGTCCCCTGGACTGTCTTTGTTGATTCTAACTTGTAAATAAAGAAAATATTATTCAAGTTTTGAGTTATCTTAATAACATTTGTTTCTGTAGTGCTTCAGAAGGAACATGACTAGAATTGTCTTGAATTTGGGGGAAGATACTACTGAGGGGAGAAAAAGGAATAGCCATCCTGTAGTTGAGTTGTTATTTTTTAAACAAACTGTAGGCTCTTGCTTAGTTAATAAAGTAAATGCACCTGACCTTTGAAAAAAAAACAAGAACTTGTCTCTGAATTAATTCTCCAACTGTTTGCTTGTTTCTTCCTTTCTTTCCTTCTTCATCATCTACATCTTTCCTTTTGTTACACCTTATAAGGGGATTTCCTCAACCATCCTCCAAGCCTTCTATGGGATTTTATTTGGGGTATTATGTTATTTAATTTTCAAGAACTTTGTTCTCTCACTTTTGCTTTTTCATAACTTTCTGTTTTTGCTTAAGAAAGTTCATTTTATTCCTTATATCTCTGAAAATATTAATGACATAGATTTTTGTAAAGACATTTTTCTGCTTCTTGCACTGTCTCTTTATGCAGGTCCCCCCCTTACCCTCTCCCATTTGCTCAGGTCTCAGTGTTGTCATGGCAGAGCTTTCTCACATGTCGGCAGTTGCGCTGTTATTTAACACTCAAGAGCACCAAAAGGCCAATTATGCAAATATGGTGCTGATTGGTGAAATTTCCTAGAGTGTTGATTAGGCAGCAGGCTGTCTTTTTAATTTTTTTTTGGCTTCAGCACAACAGCATCTATTGATCTTTGGAGAATGTTTATAATCTGGACTGTGTTCCTCCAAAATTCATATGCACCCCAGTACCTCAGAATGTGACTGTATTTGGAGATGCCTCTTTAAAGAGGCAATTAAGTTTAAATGGAGTTCTTAGAGTGGACTGGTGTCCTTACAAGAAGAGGACATTAGGACACAGTCACACACAGAGGGAGGACCCTGTGAAGATGCAAGGCAGCCATCTGGTGGCCCAGAGACAGGCTCCACAAGAAACCAACCCTGAAATCAAGACACCTTGATCTTAGATTTCCAGCCTCCAGAACTGTGAGAAAGAAATTTTTGTTGTTTAAGTCACTCAATCTGTGGTATCTTGTTATGGCATCCCCAAAAAACTAATTTAGGGACATTCAGTTTCTCCAAAGACAAATCCCCTAACCTCCTGCCTGGGGGCAAGAGCCTAGTGGGGTGTGGAGCTCTAGGCACTGCGCAGGAGAGGCCGGGCCTCACTGCTCACCACGTGCTGGGCTAGGTCAGGCATCTCCCTCCCACCCGCCTTTATGCCTGGCGTCATTGTGGCTGGAGACGTTCTGACTTTGGCACACACACCTGCTCTCCCACCGGGATGAAGACACGCCTGCGGCTGAGCCCTGGTGATGGGAGCCAGGACTGGGTGCTTTACTGATTACAAAATCTTAAAAAAAATCTCAAGATCTCAGGTTGATGCCTTCTCCGCATCTCGCCTGGACCTGGAGCTCCCAAGCCCTGCGTCTGTGTGGTGATGATGGATAGACTGGCTGGTTCCCACGGGCATTTTCACGGAAGGCTTTCAAACCCAGCTGCACTGCACAATCTCCACTCGTCCGTCTGCTGACGTCTTCCAAAACGTGCTAACATCTTTTGTTTCCCATTGCTCTATGTCCATTCTCTTTGTCCTTCATGGTTTATGTCACCTGCTCTGTGTCTCAACTGACTGCTTTGTGATGTTTCCATTATTGCCATACCCTCATAAGCTGCCTGATAAATCACATCAGGCCACTTGGGATTACCACAGAAACTGCTAAACTTACTGGAGTTAGAGCCAACCGTGAGCTCGCTGAGGGCTGGACAGGCCCCAGGGTAGGACACACTCAGAAACTTCCTCTGGTGTCCCCTCTGGCTTGTGGTTTCCATGGTGTGGGAGGGGTCAGAGCCAGGAGTGCAGGGGACACACCTCTGTCAGGTAGTGTAAGAGAAGGGGTGAATCCCAGGACAGAACACCAACGGAGGAGCTTCTAGGAGAAGTCAACTCAGAGCAGAGGCTGGGGATGGGGCATCTCTTTGATCTCACTTCTCATCTTGCTTCAGGGCAGGAGCCCCACTTGTTGATGTTTTCCCCTTCCTAGGACTCTGCCTGGCTTTGCCACCAATCCCCATTCTTCAGATGCAACCTGAGGACTGGGCTACCTGCTCACGCATCGTTCTTCAGTGCCGCATCTCTATGGGGAGAGCTGGCTGTTCTAATTACCTACTGCTGTGCGACGAACTACTGCAAAGCTTGGAGGTTCGAATAACAACCATCTTATCTATCCCGTAACTTCTGGGTCAGGAGTCCAGATCAAGCTGGCTGGGCAATTTTCCTACTCCGCATGGCATTACCTAGGGTCCGTTGATGTCCAGCTGGCAGCTGGGCTGCTCAGGAGGGTGCAAGATGGCTTTGCTCACGCCTGGTGCCTTGGCCTCCCTAGCATGGTGGTCACTGGTGGTTGAACGTCTTGTGTCGCAGCTCTGGGCCCTGTGTGAGTGCTCCAGGATACCCAGGTAGAAGCTGTGAGTTTCTCATTGCTACCAGCCACAGAGGATGCAAAGTCACTACTGCTGTGTCCTACTGGTTTCAAGTGAGTCAGGGGGACCGGCCCAGACTCAAGGGGGAGGACACAAAGGGAGGCATGTCTCGGGACCTGGGGCCACCTTTCATTTACTGCTGCGGCAACCGCTCTCCACCAGGGACTCCCCTTCCACCCGGATGGCCCAGCAGAGGTGGCTTTGCCTGGGAAGCAGCATCCCTAGCTCATTCTTTATTAGACTTGTAGAATAATTTTTGCAGCTAAGTAAATTTCCTTTGCTTTCAATACATGGCAAAATAACTCAGGGGTATGCTTTTCCTGATTTCATCATATGCTTGGTTCACACGTGCTCATTTTTCTTCCTTTGCCACCAATTAACCCGCAGTCTCTTGCTCTTGACCAAGAGAGACATTTGTGACATTTCTGTGGCCTTTCCCTATAGTCAGTACAGCCTGTAGCCATGGGCCCAAGATGCAGTTTGGGGCACGGCCCCAGCAGCAGTAATGCTCACAGTCAGCCCCTCTGCAGGGAGGCAAATAGGTGAGTTCAAGAGTGTTGGCTGTCTGAGTAAACACCTGTGAACAAACGCAAGGAAGCTAAAGTGACGAGGGAACACTAATCAAAACAAATGTAAATATGACTATCAAGGGTAAGAAATTAAGAATCATTCATTGCCAGTCCAACAGAAGCAAGTTCTCACAGCTCACCCACCCTGGGGGTGACAGTGAGCTTTAAGAGGTACGAGATGTACTGCAGTTTCCAGGAATGTGTATTTGTTGTCATGTTATGAAACAGTCAATTTCAATATATGCTGCAAATGATTGGAGATGACAGCAGCAACCCAAGGAGGACAGTGACCCCAGCTGGGTAGGTGCAGCGAGCTTTTTGAATTCTGACACTCAATGTTCTCCTCAACTGGAGAATCTGTACACAATACAGAGTTGAATCTTCTGTAATTCAAGTTACAGAAAAAATAAAAGAATGGCAACGATGTTCCCCCAAACACTTTGTTTCTCCTGGCTTGGTGGCACTGTCCATGTACACAGTGAAGCCAGGGATGATGTCAGTTGGTGCCCAAATGCAGGAGACCGCACAGGAGACACGCAGTGAGACACACTCCTTGGGGACTAAGGAAGGACAGCCAGATATAGCTGGGAGGGCTCCGCACAAATTGGATAAATCATTTCTTTCTAGTGCAGCTGGCAAACTTGCAGCTTTTTGTTAATAAACATGATGTCTCCTGGAAGGTAGACGCAGCTTCGTATGAATGCTACTTTCCAGCCGGTTCACCTTGACAACAGCCTTGGGGGCTGGTCGGGATGATGCGTTCCAGACGCAGAAATGGAGGCTGGGAATGTGTGAGTAAAAGACGTGGGGTTGCAGGGTTAGTAAGGGTCTGGGCACGGAACTAGCTTCTCTGAACCACATCCAGTGTCCTTGCTGTTCCATGAGCTCCCCCATTTTGGTGTAGTGGGTAACTGTGGCTACGGGGCCTGGCTGACCTGGGAGCTGTTGGTGGCCCTCTGCTGCCCATGA